AACCTTGCTTATCGGGATCCGCTCCCGCGCGCCTGTGCTGCAGGGCTGGGCGACATTCCCAACACCCGCGCCCTGTTTGAGCGCGCGCTGACGGCGGCGGCCCCCCAGGCGGCGGCCCAGCTGTGGGACGCCTACGTGGCGTTTGAGTACGATGTGGGCAGCCTGGCCGCAGCGGCGGCGGTGGAGGCGCGGCGTGCCGCGGCGGCAGAGGCGGCGCGCGAGGCGGCGGCCGCCGCGGCCGCCGGCGCCGCGCTGGACGGCAAGGCGGCGGCGGCGGCGGCGCAGGCGGCGGCGCAGGCCCAGCAGGCGCCCCAGCACGAGGCGCTGCACCTGGCACTGCTGAAGTACCGCGTGCAGGACCTGTGGCCGGCCTCGGAGGGGCAGCGCGCGTACATGGAGCGCCTGCTGGGGCAGGCGCCCGCCCCCGAGGTGCGGCCCCGCTGTCCCTGCCTGCCCTCCCCAGCCCGCCGGGGCATGCGCTGAATGCTTGCAGCAGTGCAGGAGGGGAGGGGGGTGCGCTGTATGCTTTCGCTGAGCGGCGGCAGTGGCAGCTGGACGCCGGAGTTGTTGTGCTGGCCAGCGGCACTCGGCCCGCCCTTTCCAGCCTGGCGCCGCCAACGCACTCGAGGCGCGCTTGCGCGTGCCCCTCCCCTTATTGCCCCCGCAGAGCGGCGAGGCGCGGGCTCGGGAGCCGGACAGCGGCAGCCGGCGGGACCGCGGCGAGCGGGAGCGGGGCAGCGAGCGCGGCGAGCCGCGGCGGGGCGGCGACGGCGAGCGGTCGCGGTGCCGCCGCGGCGGCGAGCGCGGCGGCCACGCGCCGCGCTCCCCGCCGCGGGATGCCGAGCCGCTGCGGCTGAGCCGGGAGCTGGCGCAGCTGATGAGCCAGCTGCCGCCGCCGCACGCACGTGAGGGTTGCCGCAGCGGGCGGGGTGGGGCTGCCTGGCTGCCTGCGCAGGCCACAGCCGCTGCCGCCAGCTCCTTGCTGGCCTCCTTGCTGGCCGGCAGGCAAGCGCCCAGCCTGCCTTGCTCGTCCTGCCACCCCGCCTGCCTCCTTCCTCCCGCCGCCCTGCCTGCCTGCCTTGACCCGGCCCTGCCCTGCCCTGCCTTCTGCCCTGCGCTGCAGTGGAGGGGCCCATCCCGGATGTGGAGCGCCTGGTGCAGGTCATCCTGGGCGCTGACCTGTCGCCAGATGGCATCATCGCCCACGAGGTGGCCGCAGCGCGCGAGCGCCGCCGCCAGCGACGCCTCGCGGAGCAAGGTGGCGGCAGCCCGGTGGGGCTGGGCCCTGCCGGCGGCGGCTACGCCGGCCCGCCCGGCGCCTCGGGCGTGGGCCAGAAGCGCAAGGCGCTGCAGGAGTTTGACAGCGGCAGCGAGAGCGAGGAGGAGGAGCGGGGGCACAACGGCGGCGGCGGCGGCGCGGCGCCCGGCGGCGCGACAGACGGCGGCGCGCCCGCTGCCGGCGGCCTGGACGTGTATCGCATGCGCCGCAAGCAGCAGCGCGGCCCCTGAGCTGCCCCGCCCCGCGCGGCCACCACCTGTTGAGCTGCGCCCTTGTTGTGTCGAACCGGGTTCTGAAATTGAGGCATTGCCCTGCACAACACAGGTGCTGGCTGGCTGTGCGCATTACACCAGGGGAGTCGCGCCAGCACTGCCCCAGCAGAGGCCCCAGAGGAGGCCTGCTTGCATTGCAGCGCACCAGCGGGCACCGTATGTAGAGGTTGCAGGGCAGGAAGGAGGCGGGGGCGCCACACAAGCGCCGTGGGCACAGGGGAAGCAATGGGGGCAGTGAGGGGCCCGGGCGGTGAGGGCATGTGGGCCCCACGGGCCGGCAGAAGAACCATGGTACAAGTGCGGTGGTCCACCGATGAAAGAGGGAGGTGCGTGCAGTGGAATGTGCTGGTCAACAGAGGCGGCGTGGCGAGACAGCTAAAAAACACGCCGGGGCACAGGCACTGCGTGCTGGGAGCGCACCCACAAGCAACACAGAGCCATTTGAGGTGCGGTCAGGGGTCAGGGTCAGCGGGCTGAGCGCCTAGTCAAGTCAATCAGTCAGGCAGTCAGAGACAGTCACAACGGTCAGAAACGAGTCGACAAGGTGGGGACGCGGCGGGTGGTCGCACCGGCGCACCCAACGCTGCCTACAGAAACGCGGAGCACAGCTGTCGGCAGCCTTGCAGCTCCAAAGTCAACAGGGGGTCCGCCCGTAAGGGCCCATAAGCGTCATCAAGTGTTGGTCAGCCAGTGCTGGAGTGCCGCGGAAGAAGCCCCCATCCCCCATCCCGATATGTCGCCATGCGGCGGCGCGCGCCGCAAAACCCCGTCATGTGCAGTATCAGCCGGCGCCAGGTGTTGTTAAGCGCCAGTCGTAATCAATAGAGGCGCTCCAGTGGCTGCCCCAGGCTGCGACCGTGTGTGTGGTGGAGGCTGCAGGCAGGCGCCGCCTCACTTGGCGGGCGTCTTGGCTGCGCCGCGCCGCGTGCGTGTCGTCATGGGCTCCGCGGTGGCGGGGGTCTTGGCTGCCGCCCTGCAGCACCATGCAGCCCCGGCAGGACGGAGTGGGGGACAGGCGCGCGCTGCTGACGAAAGACGACGCAGCGCAAAGGCAGCAGGCAGGGCTCAGCAACGCTGCCCAGCAGGAGGCGGCTGTGCGCTTGGCCGTGTGCCGCACCTGGTGGCGCGCGGCCGCGTGGCCTTGGGGGTCACAGTCACCGCCTCCGTCTCCACCTTCTTGGTGGACTTGGGGGTCTTCTGCAGGGACCGCGCAGGCAGCGGGAAGCCGTGCGGCTCGGGAGGGGCCGCGACGAGCAGCGACAGAAGCACAGCGAGCGGCGGCAGCTGGCGGCGGCGGGGCTGTCGCTGCAGGCGGCGGCGGCGGACCCTTGTCGCTGTCCCAATTTGAAACAGAAAGCGGGGGAACAGGGAACGAGGGCGGCTGGGCCGCATCGGCGAGATGCGGTTGCCAACGGTCATGCTTTTCGGCCGGCACGCACCACTGCCCGGGGCGTCTTCACCGGCGCTGGCGACGGCTTCTCGGGCGTGTAGGCCCTCGGAGGTGGTTTATGAGCCCTGCAGCGGGAGGGGAGCTCCGCTAAGCAGACTTGCAGGCCGGGTGCCATGGCCAGCCAACAACAGCTCCCACCTGGTGGAGCGCCGCAGCCCCTGCTCTGTGATGATCGTCCCGCCCGCCGGCTTCTTCTTCTTCTGCCCCGCCACTGCACAGCTGTAGAGCGCGACGATGCTGAACAGCAGGGCCGCCAAACTTCCCAGTATGGGCACTGCCAGCGGGTTCTGCAGCTGCAGCTGCAGCTTGGCAACCAGGTCCTGCAAGACGGCCTCCATGGCTGAGAGAATTGGGAGTGGGGCCGGCTCCTGCTGGGCACTTGTTTGAGCCGACAAAGCACCCCCGGGTCCAAAGTACGCGTATTACCCGCCAGGAGCCCGCTCACTCACCCTGTTGCTGCGCAGAAGGTCCAGGTCTGCGAGCTGGACCAGCAGCGGCTCGGGGCTGCCGTCCAAGGGTCCCGCCGACGCGCCGCCTGCGGCCATCCCTGCCTTTCCTGTGCTGGGTACCTTGGGGCCTGGTGAGCTGCAATCCACCCGGGACCAACTGCTGCACCTCGAGAAATAGCAGCATGGCGGGCCGAGGCTTCACCCGCTGGGCGCTGGCGGCCGCCCTGGCCTTGGCGGTGGCATTGGCGACACTGCGCCAGGAAGGTGAGCGGTTGGGCAGCTGCGCAGCTGCGAGGATGGCAGCAGGTGGCCACCTGCCGCAGCCACCTGCTCGCTGCTTCTTGAACTGACTATGCCCCAACAAGCACTGGCGTGCAGGCGGGCGCACCGCCAGCTTCCCGGTGCGGAGGAAGCTGCAGCAGGAGGGCCCCTTTCAACCGCTTCCGGCCCCTCCTCCCGCCCCTCCTGCCGGCCTCCCCGCTCCGGTCGCCGACGCGCTGACCAACCAGCTGGAAGGGCTGGGCGCTGGAGGTGAGTGTGAGGCAGGCTGGACCAGAGGAGGAGCCTATGGGCATGCATGCATGATGATTGCATGCCAGGAGCGCTTGATCTGCTTTGCAACAATGCCTGCCTGAGGAACACCCAGCAGAACACAACTGACGCCTGGCTTGCCTGCCTGCCCTGGCCGTGTGCAGCTCCCGTGGCCCCTCCACTGCCCGAGCTTGGCCCAATGCAAGCCGCAGCACCAGCCCCCGAGCCAGTTCCCGAGCCTGCGGCTCCTACGGTCGAGCCTGTCACGCCAGCCGCAGCACCTGTACCCGCTCCACCCGCTGCTCCCCTGGCTGTCGCTCCTGCCGTTGTTGCAGTCCCGGTCATGCCCCCCGCCATGCCAGCAGCTGCACCCCCCATCTCCGCCCCGCCTGCCCTCGAGCAGCCGCCGCCGCCGCCAGCAGCCGAAGCGCCAGCGGCGCAGCCTGCTGTGGGCCCGACCGTGCAGCTGCCAACCCCTGCCCAAGCCATGGCGCCTGCGGAGTCCACCCTGGTCCCTGCCGTGGAGGTGGAGGCTGTGGGCGTACCATCGGCTGAGCTGGCCGCCATGCCGGTGCCAGCCGCGGAGCAGCCGCAGGCTGGAGTGCTGAGGGCCCAGCCCCTGCCACCTGTCACCGCTGCCTTTGCGCCCCTGCCCGAGGCGCCAGCAGCAGAGGCTGAGGCTCCTGTCGTCACTGCGGTGCCAGCGCCCGAGCAAGTGCAGCCGGCAGCCGCGTCGGCAGTGGAGGAAGTGGCTGTGCCGGCACCCGAGCCGGCGGCCGAGGAAGCTCAGCCCGCGGCAGCATGCACCAACACACGCCCTGACACTCGCTTCACCTGCCAGGAGCAGCGCAGGTTTGGCAAGTGCAACGCGCCGTTCATGACTCTCGGCAACTTCTGTGCCGCCACCTGTGGCCGCTGCACCCCCGCCGAGCTTGCTGCCGCCGTCCAGCTGGGTCAGTGCACAGACGCTGCGCCAGACAGCCGCTATAGCTGTGAGCAGCAGCGTAGGTTTGGCAAGTGCAATGAGCCGTGGATGACGGCGGGCGGCTTCTGTGCCGCCACCTGCGGGCGCTGCACCCCTGGCGCCGCCCCAGCCGGGTGAGCCAGCTGCACAGCCATCCGTGCGGCGGGAAGTTTTGGACTGTGGCGAGAGACGAGGTGCCCCTACCATATACAGCTGGACCAAGCCCAAACAACATGTGCTGATTCATCGATGATTCAAGCCCCCTGCCACCAGCTTGCAACATGCACTTGCCTGCTGAAACAGAAGCATGTACATGTCTCCTTGTGAATGCGTTGACCCTTTCCAGGTGATGGGGCAATGCAGCTGCAGCTGCACCTTGTTGCCACCAGGACCTGCTTCGTTGGTGCGATTGGGAGTCCCAGGGGGAGGGCGGCACCTGCGGGGCACTTGTTTAAATCGGCAAAGCATCCAGGGTCCAAGAGGAAAGTAAGTGAAGCGGGCTGGAGGCCGCAGCACTCGCCTGTTGCTGCGCAGAAGCGCCGTCGTGCATCAGGAGGCAACAGCAGCAGCACGCCGCCGTCCAAGGTTCGGCCCACGCCGCCTGCCTGCAGCTGCCTTTTTCCTGCCAGTACCCAAGGCCAGGGGCGGCTGCAATCCACCCCGGAGCTGGTGCATCTCAACATAAAGCAGCATGGCGGGCCGAGGCACCACCCGCTGGTGGCTGGCGGCCGCCGCGGTGCTTGCACTGCTGCCTCAGGGCACGGCCTCAGGGCACGGCACTGCGCCTCCCGGGTGAGCGTGGGCAACAGCAGCTGGTGGTGCCGCAGCCAGATGCCCGCTGCTTCTGGAACTGACTTATGCCGGCAACACTGGCGTGCAGGCGGGCGCGCCGCCAGCTTCCCGATGCGGAGGAAGCTGCAGCAGGACGGGCCCTTTCAAGTGGTTCCGGCCCCTCCTGCCCCCCCTCCTGCCGGCGCGCCAGCGGCGCAGCCTACTGTGGGCCCGACTGTGCCGCTGCCAACCCCTGCCCAAGCCATGGCGCCTGCGGAGTCCACCCTGGTCCCTGCCGTGGAGGTGGAGGCTGTGGGCGTACCATCGACTGAGCTGGCCGCCATGGCGGTGCCAGCCGCGGAGCAGCCGCAGGCTGGGGTGTTGAGGGCCCAGCCCCTGCAGGCTGAGCCGCCAGCACAGGCGGTGACGGCTTCCCCCGACCAGGCGGCCCCAACCCCCGAGGTGAGCCCTTGCGCAGCAGCCTGCCGCGCAATGCAGCCTATCCTCAGCCTGGGTCGGCACGTCTGCAGTGTCGTCTTTGCCGTGAAGCCTGCCCGGCCTCTGGGCTGTCGAGCTCCCGCCCCGGGCCCTGGCAGACTTTAGGGCACACCAGAAGGATGGCACTGCAAGCTGAGGAGCACCCAGGCTGAGGAGCACCCTCTGCTGCTGGGCTGGCTCCATGCTCCCATTCTGTCTGATGGAAATTAAGGGTGCCGCCCGCGCCCCTGCCTGCAGGCCCCCACAGCCGGCGCCCCTGCCCCCGAGTGCGCTGACGTGCCGCCGCCTGGAACCAACTACACCTGCCAGCAGCAGGCCAGGGTGAGGCTGCTGCGTATACATGAAGCAAGGCTTGTGCACATGCTGGGTTTTGGCTTCGTCAGAATGGGAGCTGGCCCGCATGCGTGCCAACCTGACTGGTAGCAGCCACATGCCAGCCATGTGCCCTACAGATGTAGCAGACATCCGTCTGCTCCCCTCCCCCGCCGCAGTGGGGCAAGTGCAGCGAGCCCTGGATGCAAGGCTTCTGCAATGCGGCCTGCGGTCGCTGCCCCTCCCCAGCCCCCGCCGGCGAAGCCGCGGCCCAGGCTGCCATCAGCGTCGCCGCGCCCGCGCCTGCAGCGCCAGGTGGGCAGGCTTTTGAGGTGGGAGCGGCACTTCCGCTGGAGGCCGCCCTGCCTCCCGCCGGCGAGGTGGCTGCCCCAGCGGCCCAGCTGGAAGCAGCCCCGCAGCCAGCCGCAGAGGCTGCCGGCGCCCCTGCTGCACAGCCCCCTGAGCAGCGCCCGTTTGAGCTGCTGGTGGTGGGAGGCAGGCCCACCTCGACGGTTGTGCTGCTCAACTTGCCGACGCGGCGCCGCGCGCCGCGGCTGGCAGCCGACGGCGGCGTGGCCCCGCCTGCCGCCGCCGCTCCCGCAACCGAGGGCCTGCCCCGGGCGGCTGCTCCCACTGCAGAGGCCGCTGCTCCCGTCCCAGAGCTAGCCTCAGCCGCCTCGCTTGTGGCACCCCCCGCGGCGGAGGCCCCTGCCATGCCTGCCGCGCTGGCGCCAGTAGGGGCTGCTCCTGTTGAGGCCGGCCTGCCGCCGGCGCCTGCGGTGGCGCCCCCGGCGCCCCCGCCGCCTCCAGCACCTGTCGTGCCTGCAATCCTGGTGATCGGACCCACCGAGGTCCCCGCATCCACGCTCCCGGCAGTCATCTATGGTCCCATGGTGCCAGCCCTGGCAGCACCCGTGCCTGCCCCTCAGCCCGAGGCAGCTCCTGTCGTCACTGCGGTGCCAGTGCCCGAGCAAGTGCAGCCGGCAGCCGCGCCGGCAGTGGAGGAAGTGACTGCGCCGGCAGCTGCGCCGGTTGTGGAGGAAGTGACTGTGCCGGCAGCTGCGCCAGTGGTGGAGGAAGTGACTGTGCCGGCAGCTGCACCGGTGGTGGAGGCAGTGACTGTGCCGGCAGCTGCGCCGTTAGTGGAGGAAGTGGCCGTACCGGCAGCCGCGCCTGCGGCCGAGGTAGCTCAGCCCTCAGCCCCGGCAGCATGCACCGACACACCCCCTGACACTCGCTTCACCTGCCAGGAGCAGCGCGGCTTCGGCAAGTGCAATGCGCCCTTCATGACTCTCGGCAACTTCTGTGCCGCCACCTGTGGCCGCTGCACCCCCACTGGAGTTCCATCGCCCGAGCCTGCTTCCACTGCAGCTCCCAGTGGGGCTCGCAGGGCTGCACCCCCCGCCGCTGCTGCCCCGGGCCAGCAGGGTCAGTGCACCGACACGCCGCCAGACAGCCTCTACACCTGCCAGCAGCAGCGTAGGTTCGGCAAGTGCAATGAGCCGTGGATGACGGCGGGCGGCTTCTGTGCCGCCACCTGCGGGCGCTGCATCCCTGGCGCCGCCCCAGCCGGGTGAACCAGCTGCAGATAGCCAGCCATGAGGCGGGAGGCTTTAGATTTTGGCGAGAGACAAGGTGCACAGCCCCGCCCCTCAACAACCGCCTCCCAGCCCAAACAACACAGCAAGATTCAAGCCCCTTGCCACCAGATTGCAACATGGACTGCCCGCCGAACAAAAGCATGTACATGTCTCCTTGTGAATGCGACCCCAGCTCCTGAATCAGCAAGTTGACAACAAGAAGTTTGGCGTAGTTGCATGTACACATGTGGTTGATGGGGAGTGCAGTGCAGAAAATTTTGAACGGGACAACGGAAGCAATAATGACTGATGAAAACAGATGCTGGGGGCCGAGAGAAGCGTTGCATCATTAAAATTTTAATTCTCAATTAATCGAACAGCCCAATTTAACGCGTAGGCGCAGGGTGCGGATTTGGGTTGGCTGCAGCGGCGGCCGGCGCTGCCATCGCCCGCCCGCTCAGCTGCTCTGCCGTCGCCGGCAGGGCGCCGGGGCGGGGCGCGCCGCCGCTGGCGCCCAGGTCCAGCACCAGCGGGAAGGCGGGGGCGTCGCCCATGGAGCCGCGCGTGTCGCCATAGCCCACGGCAGAGGAGGTGGAGGAGGAGGGTGCAGAGGCCAGGGAGGAGGCGTCGGAGGAGGAGGTGGCAAGGGAGCTGGTTGTCCAATCCAAAGCGCAGGCCTGTGCGGAGCAGGGGCAAGCCAGGGCAATCAGGGGTGAGTGAGCCTGGCGGCAATGCACCTGTTTTATAGGGCTAGCTGCAGCAGCAGCAGCACGCGGAGCTTACCAGTTGCTTCCAGGGCTGCTGCCACCAGCGCCGTCTCTGGCATTGCGCTGGCGAGTGTGGCGTGGAAGGAGGCGACTCTTCATCCCCCTCCTCCGCCACTGCCTGCAGCTGCTGCACTGCTTGTGGTTGCTGCGGCATGGGCGGCGCATCCTCTTGCGGTGCAGCTGGCAGAGCTGCCGCCGCGATCCCTGCTTCCCGACTGGGCATCAGAGAGCAAATGGTGTGTAGGCGCTGGCCGCCTTGTGTGCGGCAGTTCATCTGTGTGGTGTGCAGCACGCCGTCGGTACTGTCGGTCACCACCGACTCCGCAGCCGCGGCGCTCGCCTCCACGCCGCCTGCTGCCTCTTCGTCTCCTGCTGTTGCGGCAGCTGCGAGTGCCGGCCGCTCCGCTGCCTGCTCCCCCTCGCCTGCAGTCCCAGGAAGCTCCTGCTGCAGCGGGGTGCCTGCTCCACTGAGCTCTTCCTGCACCACCACTGCCTCCAGCTGGACGGGCAGGTCCTGCTTTGTCCGCCGCCATGCGCTGCGCTTCCTCTTAGCCTTGGCAGCCCTCTGCCGCACCAGGCGCTGGTAGGCGTCCCAGCCGCGCTCGCGCAGCACGTGCAGCTCACGCCTTGTCAGTCCCGCAGTGTGCAACACATCGCCCACGCCTGCGGCAGGGCAGGCAGGCAGGAAGGCGGGTGAGCAGGCGGCGTCAGAGATTCAACAGCGGCAGTGGCAGCAGTGGTGTGCGATGAGAGGCAAGTGCTGTGGCTGCCTGGCAGCATCTGCACGGTACGCATTTGGCTGTGTTACTGCCGCATTACCTCGCTGCTCCGCCAGGCCAAGCACGCCATCCCGTCCTGCAGCAAATGACATGCTGCCGAACTGCCCCGCCACCACCGCCATGATGGCCTTCTGGTACTGCAGGAAAGCAGCGGTACGGCAGCATGACAGCCGCGGAACTGCGTTCAGCATGACTCGCGACAGCACAGCACAGCACAACCGACACCATCAGGCAAAGCCAGCCACCTCAGCAGGCAGGCAGCAGCCAGCCACCTGTGTGAGCAGGTGGTCCCGGACCGAGGCGCCTGCAGGCAGGCAGGTGGAGCACGTGCGAAGGCAGGCCCGCTTTACTTCAGCAGCACACCCATGCCAGCGTTTAGCATGCATGGCTAGTGGCGCTGCCCAAGATTGAAGTGCACACAGGTTGCACGGAGCTGCACAGCAGCCAGGCCAGGTGCAGCAGCAGCGGGGGTGGCATGGCATGCGTAAGCGCACCTCCCGGCACACCACGGACGGCTGTCTCCACATAGTTTGGCCGCACCACCAGATCCCCCAGCCTGTTGACCAGCACGCGGTGGCCGGTGCGCTTGTACAGAACCCAAAACTGCGTTATGGACGCCGGGTGTGAAGGGTTAGGGGTACGTTAGGTGTGGGCCAGCGGACTGCTGCCGCAGCGGAGTGCGTGTGTTTGCAACTGGTGATGCTGGAGTTACTACAGATGCACCCGCTGCGCCCGCTGTGCCACCTCACCTTGGCCGCTGAGGTCACGACATCGTTACTGTTGATGATGTGCCTGCGGGGAATGGGTGAGGGGCAGGCGAGCCCTTGCTGAGCATGATGGGCAAGGGCAGATCTCTAGAGCAGCGCAAGGCAAGCATGCCACCTGCAGCAGGGCGCCAAGCACACACCCACACCCACCAGGTGTCGGGCACCGCTTCGTTGTAGATGCGCGCAAAGGCGTGGTTGCCGGTGCGGGGGGCGCCAAAGGTGTAGCACTTGACGTTGATGAGGTACTCTGAGGGTGGGGTTGGGAGGCAGGAAACGGCTGGAGCCAGCAGCAGCTAGGCAATGGCAGGCTGCGAGCGCGGCAGCGTCGGGCTGCGCATGGTTGCGCCTGCGTGCCTGCGCAGGGGCATCGCTGCTTGATGTCGTATGCGCACAGCGTGGCCAGCGCGCCGCCCAGCGAGTGCCTGCAGGGTGGGGTGGCATATGTCTCGCAGTGCCCCAAGCCAAACTTCACACACACACACATGCCACTTTCACACCACCTACCACCCTGCACAGGGTGCGCTGGACACACCCTGTGACATAGACGTTGACGGGCTTCTCGCTGTCTGCATCCTTCTGCTCGTTGGCGCAGCGGTACAGGATGTGCTCCAGGCGGGACAGAAGCTTGTCGTTGAACCCATTGGCGGTGTAGCACCGGTGGAAGCCCTGGTGCACCATGGGGGCGCTGCAAGCAGGTCGAAGGGGCCACAGAGAGAGCAGGTCGAAGGGGTGGCATGTCAGAGAGATACAGTGTGCGCACGCGTGGCAGCAGCAGCACCCGAACAAGCCCACCACATGCCGACACGCAGCACTGCCCAGAACGGCAGGCCGGGCAGGCAGCCGGCAAGCAGCCCGGCTGCAACTGCCCACTCACGTGCCCATCAGCGGGTTGCCGACGCCCTCGGGCCAGCGCTTGCGCCACGCCTGCAGGTCTGCCTTGACGTTTGCCAGGCTGGCGGTGCCGCGAAAGGCAATCACCACCTGCGTGGGGCAGGGAGGGGCAGTATCTCAGGTCGAGCGCCAGAGGCACCTCGCTCTGCCATGTGGCGTGCGTTCCGCAGGTAGATCCAGGCCCTGCACCGCCGCTGTGGGACCCACCACAACCACACACACACACAAGCCCATCTCACCGTGTCGCTGCTCCACCCCACGATGGCCTTTGTGTCCAGGCTGCGCTCCCACATGCACTCCCAGTGTTCCAGCCCATACAGCAGCAGGGCGGTGTCTGGCGAGTAGGGGGACTGCCTCTTCTCCTCCTGGTAATCATACACCAGAAAAGACCAGTACATCAGCTTGATGGTGGTCTGCAGGTGGTGGGGAAGAGGGCAGCGGAAGGAAGGGTAGTGAGCGAGGGGTTGTGGGGAGGATGCAGCAGGAAGGTGCAGGAAGGGAGGGGCACAGCCCGGGCCTGAGAGGACGCGATGCGTGTCTTGCTCCACGGGCACGTTTCCAAGCCTGTGCAGACCGCCACCCGGTAGCATGGGCACGCACAGGCAGCCAGTTGCGGCGTGCCTACCTCGAAGCACCACAGCGGCTCGCACTCGAGGCAAAAACTATCATGTGAGTCTGGTGGCAGGCAAGACGAGCGCTCCTCCTTCTTGCGAGGGATGTCCCGCTCCAGCCAGGCAAACTCCTGAAGCCAGACCTGCAGCACGGAGGGAGGAGCGAGCGGCAAAACTGTCGAGCAGCAGGCACCATGTCATGCGGCACCAGCCCTGCACGCAGCTTGCACTGCATACACCACGGAGAACAAATAGCTCTCAGCCTGGCACCTTACAATCGAATTAACCCCACCTGCAGGATACTCGTCTGGTCGGGGCGCTTTGGCATGGTCATGTACGCGTTGGCAATGGCGGTGGCAGTCATGACAACTTGCATGGGAAGGAATCCCAGCCAGGAGATGATGTAGGAGCTGCAGGTGCTGGGTTTGACTGCGTTCAGGGCGGGAGGCGATGTGAATGTGTGCGTACGCGCACGTGTGTATGCGCATGTGTGGTGGCTCCATGCCACAATGCTGTATGGGCCACACTGCTCACCATAGGAATAGCTGATGATGCACAGCATGAAGAAAGTGAGGGACAGGCCACGCAGCTTGATCTACAGAAGCACAGGAGGCAGGCGCGTGGTGTGGCTGGGGAGCCAAGCGGGCACGGCGCTAACAGCCGCAGGGATGCAGGCAGGAGTGAGTGTGTGCTGGTACCATTGCATTGCTGCTCATGTGGCCGGCGGGCCCACCTGCAGGCGTGTGGTGAGGTTGGCCATGCGCATGCCGTTGTAGGGCAGGTGCTTGAGGTTGTTGAGGGCACGGGCGATGAAGAAGATCTGCAGGCAGCAGTGCAGGAGTCACCCCCGGAATGAATGCTGGTCAGGTAGGCAGCCCCGAATGCTCAGCTGACACCCATCTGTCTCAGGTAGGGCGCACAGCCAGCCGGGTGGCACACGCAGCGAGCCACACACCCAGAGCAGGAAGTAGGTCACGATGCAGACGGTGTTGAGCGTCAGCACCGCAATGCCGGCGGCTGCGCGCATGTGGAGCACACAGCGGTGGAGGCAAGGCAAGCAACCGGTGAGTAGAAGAGAGAAGCATGCATGGCCCTTCAATTACCCAGCGAAGGATGCAGCAGCATGACCCAGCCACCCAGCTTGGCTTGCGTTTGAAGTGGCAGTTCCAGTCCTGCTGGCGGCAGTCGGTGATGGTTGGGTCCCAGTCAGTCTCCTCAAATGGGTCGTCTAGGACGAGGCCTAGCACCAGCAGCGTCGCCTCCTCTGCCACCCATACGATCAGCTTGGGCCAGTGCGTCCACAGCGGCGCATCCATCACTGCCCCATCCACACGGGAGACATACTTACCTGCATCATGGCAGGAAAGAGAGGAAGCTGTTACGGGGCGGGTGCAATGGAGGAAGGAGGCAGCTGAAGAAGGCGATGCTCAGGCAATACCACACGTACGCCAGTATGGCCCGTTGGCCGGGTTGGCGCTGTGGGCTTGTATGACGAAGATTAGAAAAATGGTGTTCCAGATTGTCCAGCGCACAAAGGCCGACCACATCACCAGCGGTTCGAACCAGGAGCACAGGTGGCCCAGCACGTATGCGTTGGGGATGATGAAGAATATGCAGTTGATGAGCTGCAGGGACGGCAATATGGCAGGGAGCAGCTGAGAAAGCAGCGGCCAGGGCTGGCCACACAGATGCACGCAAACGGCAGCGCACGGCAAAGCAAAGTATGCACGGTGATACTTCAGCGGGCAGCAGCAGCGCACCTGCAGCGTGATCTCTATTCCTCCCAGCGTAGCGGCTCGCTTCCTCCTGTGGCTCCACCTTTTCTTGCTGAGGTTGGATCTGCGCACAGCAAGGTATGCACACACACACACAGAACTCTGGTGCCGGCAGCTCATGGAACAGGGCTCAACCCCTATACCGGCAATTGAGTTACACACACCGGCAGCTGAATGCAACACACCACCACCACCACGCCTCAGCCCTCCCACCTGTACACGCGATAGAAGAACATGAGCCAGCAGGCCAGCAGAGCAGAGAGCAGGATGCCAGCAAAGCAGAGGTTGATGGTGGGCACAGTGTTTTCTTGCAGATAATGGGAGTCGGGCTGCGTATGGTGCAACGGAGGGAGAGGGGGGAGGCATGGCCGTAAACGCCAGGCACAAGGCATCGCAGCAAGCATTGCGCTTTGATGCTTCCCGGTCAGCGCTGCTGGGGTAACCCAACATTTAGCTGCCGGGCTGACAACTGCTGTGGCTTCCAGGTCTGGCAGCACTGGGCATTAACCCCGCTCTTGAGCCACCTGGTCTATTTTGACGTAAAGCGCCACGATGAGCTTAACCGTGCCCGCAAGTACTGCGAACCACACCGCACGAATGACAATCTGCAGCAGAGATGGACAGACGGGTGCCGGGTGCGGTCGGCAGGCATGTGTAGCACCTCAAAGAAGCAGGCTAGGCAGCCCACATCAAGCCCCACCTTCATTTCGTTGGTGCGCAGGAACTCGAAGCGCAGGATGATGTCGTCGCGGGCATTGTAGTGAGGCGAGATGCTGCGCATCACCCCAGCGCTGGACGCCTCGCTGTCATACTCGCTGGAGGCCACCGACAGCTTAGGGTCCAGGCTCTCCTTGGTGGATCCATTGCTGTCCATACCATGGCTGCTATCTGCATCTTCTTTGGGCGAGCCGTCGCCGTCAGACTGGGCGGCCGCCGTCGCCTGCGGCTGGCATGAGCCGCCGCCGCCGCCGCCGCTGCCCGGCAGCTGGGAGAGCAGAGCCGCTTGCAGCACGTCTTCGGGGTCCTCTGCACCGGCGTCCTCCTCGCCCCGCTCGCTGAGGGTCATGGCGAGCGGCGAGGGCTCAAGTTTAGCCGCCCAGAGTATTTCACGCCGTGCGGCGCTCTGAAGCTATTGGCAAGCTGACCGGGAGTTGAGAGCGACCAGAGGGTTGAGGCTGCCCAGCACTAAGTGGGTCCACCGTGTCGGTGGAGAATCTTGACCTGGCGGCGCATTTGTGGAGCGGCAAAATATCACTGAATTGGAGGGGTGGGCTTTTCCTGGCAATGCAATTTCTTCCGTGCATGCCGTGCATGCTTTGCCACACGGGCGCTGGCGGCAACTTTATTAGATACCTTGACCCTGTCACTCATACTCATACTACACTTACAGCGAATCATCTCTGAATGCAGCAACCTACAAGAAGAAACTTTTTCCAAACCAGCAGACTTGCATGCGTGCTGACCAAAGTGAGCTCAGGATGCAAGGCGGGTAGCGTGCTTGCAAAGCATGTCTGTCTTGGGGATGCAGTGAGCAGAAAAAGACTGAGCAGGGACAACGGTTTGCTCATGAATGATGAGGAAATCAGATGGCTGAGCCAAGGGTCGAGTTGCGCTTCGGTTACTTCAAGTTTGAGTTCTTTTTCCAGCAGCCCACATCCATACCCGCCTAGGGTGCTGGTTTTGGCTTGGCTGCAGCTGCTGCCATGGCCTCTGCATGCTCCTGTATCGCCCGCCCGCTCAGCTCCTCTGCCGTCGCCGGCAGGGCGCCGGGGCGGGGCGCGCCGCCGCTGGCGCCCAGGTCCAGCACCAGCGGGAAGGCGGGGGCGTCGCCCATGGAGCCGCGCGTGTCGCCATAGCCCACGGCAGAGGAGGTGGAGGAGGAGGGTGCAGAGGCCAGGGAGGAGGCGTCGGAGGAGATGCGCATGAAGGAGGAGCCGGTGAGAGAGCTGGTTGTCCAGTCCACCGCAGAGGCCTGCAGGTGAGCACCAGGGGCAAGCCAGGCACACAGCAGTGGTGAGCTAGGCCGGCGACCAGGCACCTGCTCCTGTGGCTCACAAGCACGGACTACAGGTCCATCGCTGGCAGCACTGCTGGCAGCACCAGCACCAGCTGGCCCTTACCAGGCTTTTCCAGGGCCGCTGCCACCAGTGCTGCCCCTTGCGGCTGCGGTGCTGCGCAGGCGAACGAGGGGTAGAGGGAGGCGACTCCTCATCCCTCTCCTCCGCCACCGCCTGCAGCTGCACCGCTTGTGGCTGCTGCGCCGTGGGCGGCGCATCCTCCTCCGGCGCCGCTGGCAGCATCGCATCTGCTGATCCTGCCCCCCGCTTGGGCATCAGTGAGCAAATGGTGTGCAGGCGCTGGCCACACTTGGTGCGGCAGTTCATCTGTGTGGTGTGCAGCACGCCATCCCGCTCCTCCGTCGTCAGCGGCGTTGGCGCCGCGGCACCCGCCTCCATGCGGCCTGCTGCCTCCGCGGCGCCTGCCGCTGCGCCAACTGCGACTGCCGGCCATTCTGCTGCCTCCTCTCCCTTGCCTGTGCCAAGTGGCAGCTCCTGCTGCGGCGGGGTGCCTGTGCCGGGCTCCCCCTGCACCACCACTGCCTCCAGCTGCACGGGTAAGTCCTGCTGCTTGCCGCTACCCCGCCGCCACGTGCTGTGCTCCTTCTTAGCCTTGGCAGCCCTCTGCCGCACCAGGCGCTGGTAGGCGTCCCAGCCACGCTCACGCAGCACACGCAGCTCACGCCTTGTCAGCCCCGCGGTGTGCAGCACATCGCCCACGCCTGCGGCAGGGCAGGCAGGCAGGCAAGCAGGCACACCGCCGCAGGGATGAGCATGGGCATGGATAGCAGAGGATGGTGAGAGCCAGCACGCCTTGGGCCTCTCAGGCATGCAGCCGGCTCAATCACATTCGCACCCTGCATCCAATGCTGCTGCGGCTCACCTCGCTGCTCCGCCAGGCCAAGCACGCCATCCCTTCCCGCAGCAAACGACTTGCTGCCAAACTGCCCCGCCACCACCGCCATGATGGCCTTCTGGTACTGCAGGAAAGCAGCGGTACAGCAGCAGGACAGCCATGGTACTGCGCTCAGCGTGACGGGGCTCCAGCCTGAAGCCCACAGCAGCTGCAGTAGTCCTCAGCAGGCAACGGAAGTCAGCAGCCAGCCAACCTGTGTGAGGAGGTGATCCCTGACCGAGGCGCCTGCAGGCAGGTGGAGCATGTGCGCAAGTTAAGTCCCAGTCAGCAGGGCGTACTGCCACAATATGCACATGCCCACATGGTGGCTGGTTGCCCAGCAGATTACAGGCCCGGCCAGGCAGCTGTGCAGCCCCGGCGCAGGCAGCAGCAGCGGGGTTGGCAAGCATGTGTAAGCGCACCTCCCGGCACGCCGCGGATAGCTGTCTCCACATAGTTTGGCCGCACTACCAGGTCTCCAAGCTTGTTGACCAGCACGCGGTGGCCGGGGCGCTTGTACAGCACCAAGAACTGCACCGGGGTGTGTGTGTGCATGACATACAAACCTGGTTGGTACTGAGGTTGTGCACACCAGAGCTGCGCCTGCTGTGGCGCTGCGCCTGCTGTGCCACCTCACCTTGGCCGCCTTGGTCACAACATCGTCATTGTTGATGAGGTGCCTGCAGGGGAAAGGAGGGAGGGGCACACCTGGCTGGTGGTGGGCAGATGGAAGCCAGCGCCCCTTCCCAACCACCACAAGCCACACCCCGCCCAGGAATACCACCACTACCACCAGCCCCGGCGCACCAGGTGTCGGGCACGGCTGCGTTGTAGATGCGCGCAAAGGCGTGGTTGCCGGTGCGGGGGGCGCCAAAGGTGTAGCACTTGACGTTGATGAGGTACTCTGAGGGTGGGGTTGGGGGGTGGGGCACCAGCAAAAGGGTTGAGAACGGAACAAAAGGGCACGGGCTGGCTAGCACGCAGGGGCCAGGGACCAGTCAGGGAGTATACTGGCGGGTGCGGGTTCACATTCTCAGGGCTGCAGGAGCGCCGCAACCCCCACCTGCGCAGGGGCAGCGTTTCTTGATGTCATACGCGCACAGCGTGGCCAGCGCGCCGCCCAGAGAGTGTCTGCAAACGAGCAACGCATGAGGTGAAGGGGTGCAGGGCAGATGAGGCGGTCACTGCTGTTCTGCAGTGCAGCAAGTAGCCATGCTCAGTCCGGCGGCGGCACGGGTTGCGGCACATGCGGCGCGGTCGTGCACCAGGGCAGGAGGCTGACAGGAGCCCCGCCTGGCCCTCTCCTCCTCTCATCACCACGACCCTGGGCGGCGGCGCACCCTGTGACATAGACGTTGACGGGCTTCTCGCTGCCCGCATCCTTCTGCTCGTTGGCGCAGCGGTACAGGATGTGCTCCAGGCGGGACAGAAGCTTGTCGTTGAATCCATTGGCGGTGTAGCAGCTGTGGAAGCCCTGGTGCACCATGGGGGCGCTGCAAGCAGGTCGAAGGGGCCACAAATGGGTTGCATGTGTGTGAGGGGGACGGGTGCAGGTTCATGGGTACCCCTTGGAGAGATACAGAGTGTACAGATGTGGCAGCCGTAGCCCGACAAGCCTGCCAGATGCCCCATTCACTTGCAAGCTCGCAGCACCGCTCCCAGCGCCAGGCTGGGCAGGCAGCCGGCAAGCAGCCCGGCTGCAACTGCCCACTCACGTGCCCATCAGCGGGTTGCCGACGCCCTCAGGCCAGCGCTTGCGCCACGCCTGCAGGTCTGCCTTGACGTTTGCCAGGCTGGCGGTGCCGCGGAAGGCAATCACAACCTGCATGGGCAGTGGATGGCAGTATCTCGAAGGAAACTGCTTCACGGGCTGCCCCTCTGCCATGTGGCGCGCATTCCGCAGGCAGATCCAGGCCCTGCACTGCAGTTGTTGAACCTGGATGCGGGACCCACCACAACCACACACACGCGCGCAGCCAGCGCACCGTGTCGCTGCTCCATCCCACGATGGCCTTTGTGTCCAGGCTGCGCTCCCACATGCACTCCCAGTGTTCCAGCCCATACAGCAGCAGGGCGGTGTCTGGCGAGTAGGGGGAGGGAGCCCCCGCCTTCTCCTCCTGGTAATCGTACACCAGAAAAGACCAGTACATCAGCTTGATGGTGGTCTGCAGCAGGAATGGTGAGTAGGTAAGAGAGTGTAGCGTGCATGACGGGAAGGTTTGGCAGAAAGGGTGCCGTGAGAGGTGCGACATTTCAAAGCTTCAGGCCTGGCCCTGTACAAAAGAGATGCTGGGAGCATGGGCGCTTGAACGCTGTTGCAGGGCGGGGGGCAGGGTTTCAGCATTAGCAGCTAGGCCTTGCCTCAAAGCACCACAGCGGCTCGCACTCCAGGCAGAAGTTCTCATAAGAGTCTGGTGGCAGGCTGGAGGCGCGCTCCTCCTTCTTGCGAGGGATGTCCCGCTCCAGCCAGGCAAACTCCTGAAGCCAGACCTGCAGCAGGGAGGGAGGAGCGAGCGGCAGCACTGTCGGGCAGCAGCACTGTCGGGCGCGCGCTGCGGCACCAGCAATCAACGCAGAGCTGGTATCAAGCGCAGGGGGGAGGGTGTCGAAGGAGGTGGCTCTCAGCCGGGCCGCAGCGGCCCTACCTGCAGGATGCCCGTCTGATGCGGGCGCTTGGGCATGGTCATGTATGCGTTGGCGATGGCGGTGGCAGTCATGACAACTTGCATGGGCAGGAAGCCCAGCCAGGAGATGATGTAGGAGCTGCAGGTGTTGAGCTTGACTGCAAGGCAGAAGGGGGGCCAGAACAGAGGTGCGCATGTGTGTTGAGGTGGGGCGGAGGGGCAGCTGGCAACGAGCAGGAGACGGCGAGGGGGTACAGCTCCTGGAGCTGCGCCTGCGCGAGTGGGCTGCAGAAGGGCGTCGCCGCTCACCAAATGTGTACGTGATGCTGCACAGCACGAAGAAAGTGATGGACAGGCCACGCAGCTTGATCTGCAAAAGGACATCCATGAGAGTGATGTGGATCAGGCCGGGGCAACTTAGGACAGGAATCAACCGGTGCTGGTGCTGAGATGGTATGGTGCGGCGCTGCGTAGCAGCCCATCGGGCCCCATGCGCCCACCTGCAGGCGCGTAGTCAGGTTGGCCATGCGCATGCCGTTGTAGGGCAGGTGCTTGAGGTTGTTGAGGGCGCGCGCGACGAAGAAGATCTGCAGGCAGACGCGCGGGTGTAGTCCGAGTGCCAGCCTGCTTGCATGCTGGCGTGGGGGGTGACTGGGGCGCAGCCAGCCGGGATGGTCGCACGGCACACTCATGTCCACATGAACAGCACAGCCAGCCGGCTTCCTGGCCGCACACAGGCCACGCACCCAGAGCAGGAAGTAGATGACGATGCAGGTGACGTTGACCGCCAGCAGCGCCGAGCCGGCGGCTGCACGCATGTGGATCACACGGCGGCGGCAAGGTGAGCAAACACTTCGCGAGGGGGAGGGACAGAAGCACGCGACACTTTGCACGCGAGGCAGAAGCAGCAGGCAAGGGGCAGGAGGGCAGGAGGGCAGGGCTTACGTGTGAAGTGGCAGTTCCAGTTCTGCTGGCGGCAGTCGGTGATGGTTGGGTCCCAGACCGTCTCCTCTGGGTCCAGCCACATGGTGATGGTCAGCGCCAGCAGGGTGCCCTCCTCCACCACCCACAGGCTCAGCTTGGGCCAGTGAGCCCGCAGCGGCGCATCCATCACCGCGCCATCCGCCCGGCCGACGTACTTGCCTGCAGCACAGCGGCGGCGGCAATGGGTTTGGGAGGAGAGGGGGCAGCCCGAGGGCGCACAGCCATGCCATTGAGGCCAATGTCAAGCAAAAAAACAGTCGAGCGCCTCTCACGCCAGCGCGGTGTGTTGGCAGGGTTGGCGCTGTGGGCTTGTACCAAAAAGATCAGGAAAATGGTGTTCCAGATTGTCCAGCGTACAAAACCCGACCACAGCACCAGCGGGTGGAACCAGGAGCACAGGTGGCCCAGCACGTATGCGTTGGGGATGATGAAGAATACGCAGTTGATGAGCTGCAGGGAATGTGGCAGCAAGCTGAGCAAAGCAGCGGCCAGGGTTGGCCACACAGAGGCACGCAAACGGCAGTGCAGGGCAATGCATGGCATGCACGCTGATACTTCAACAGGCAGCAGCAGCGCACCTGCAGCGTGATCTCGATCCCTCCCAGCGTAGCGGCCCGCTTCCTCCTGTGGCTCCACCTTTTCTTGCTAAGGTTGGATCTGCGCACAACAGGGTATGCACACACACACACACAGAAACCTGGTATCGGCAGCCCATGGAACAGGACTCAAGCCTTGGAATCAGCAATTGAGCTGCACGCACCGGCAGCTGAATGCAACACACCACCACCATGCCTCCGCCCCAACCTCCCACCTGTACACGCGATAGAAGAACATGAGCCAGCAGGCCAGCAGTGCGGGGAGCAGCACGCCGCCAAAGCAGAGGTTGATGATGGGCACGGCATTGTCTTCTAGGTAGTGTGAGTCGGGCTGCGGGGTTTGGGTTGACATGGAGGAAGAGCAGGGCCAGGTCATGATAGGGAAGAACAGGGAGAACTGCGTGACCAGGCGGGCAGCAGCACTGGGCCAACCGGCCTCGGCTCATCTGGTTCCCTCACCTTGTCGATTTTGACGTACAGCGCAATGATGAGAATGATGGTTCCCACCACCACCGCCGCCCACACCGAGCGAATGATCGTCTGCGGCAGAGATCGCAGAAGCAGGAGTTGGGCGCAGCGTACGGCAGGCAGCCAGAACCCATGCTGTCAGTGAGCAGCACAGAAAAGAAACGGGCAATGCATCGGCCACCTGAAGCCAGCCCCACCTTCATCTCATTGGTGCGCAGGAACTCGAGGCGCAAGATGATGTCATCACCTGCATTGTAGTGCGGCGGCGACATGCCGCTGGACGCCTCGCTGCCGTGCTCGCTGGAGGCCGTCGACAGCTTGGGCTCCAGGCTCTCCTTGGTGGATATATTTCTGTGCAGACCATTGCTGCTGTCTACGTCTGCTTTGGGAGAGCCGTCGCCGCCAGACTCGGCTGCCGTCGGTGCGACTGCCGCCGCCTGTGGCTGACGTGAGCCGTCGCCACCGCCGCCCTGGGGCAGCTGGGCGGCGAGCGCTACCGCCTGCTGCTCAAATGCCGGGCGCTCTAGGGCGTCATCATCGTCGCCCCGCTCGCTGAGCGCCATTATTGTGAGGCAGGACTAAGAATGTCAAGCCCCAGACACGGTTTCGCCCTTTGCGGCGCTCTGAGGAGTGTTGGCAGCTGAACGGGACTTGCGAGCGACCAAACAACGACGTTTACTGCGCAGTCCTGGGTGTAGTGCCGGGAAGGTACCTCCAGGTCACCAAAAAGCCTGCCTTTCGTGAGCCTTCTAAGGCTACAAGGAGGGTCTCCACATTGGCATCTGCTGCTGGCCGCACTGCCACCGCCGCGCGGTGGGGTAACCCAGCACCGCCGGCGGCGGTCCGCCGCTCCAGAAGCAACCAGGGGACGAGCAGGATGAACTTAATAATGAATGAATTGAATGATTATTCATTCAATACTGATCAATGTCGTCAGGAAGGAACTTCACTTCAGATTAGCAGATTCCAGCTGAATAATGAGCATGCGCATGAGGCGGTTACAGTGGCTACAGCTGAGTGACGTTGAGCAGGAGACAAATGCAACAACAACACCATAGGTGGATGTCAGAGAATGCAAGCGGGGAGATCTTTAGCCAGGGGTCACTGCCCCCACTTCCCTGGCAGCTTCCATGCGCCCCTCCTCCTCGGCAGCAAGGTCGAAGGGCGAGGCGCCGCTGCGGTCGTGCACGGGGCCTCGGGTGGTAAGGATGCGCTGCAGCCCTGACGGCTGCCGGGACGTGGCCAGGGAGGCGCGCTTCAGCAGCTGGCCGACCAGAGAGGACCCGCGCTGCAAGAAGGGAGTGAAAGCAAAGCAGCTGGGGTCAGCGCATGGAGCGACACACCACGACCCTGCCAAGCTGGGGCAGCGCGGCCAGCACTGGGATGGCATGCATGGCCCACCTGCAGCTGCGGTGGCAGCTCCCCTGCTGTTACCGACTCCTCGAGCTTGACCTCCTGCTCTCCCGCCGCGCCCTGGGCCGCGGCTGGCAGGCCACTGTCGGCCCCCACCAGCACAACCTCCTGCAGGCTCTGGTCGCTGGCCAGCGCCTTGTGCCGCGCCCAGCCCGGCAGCAGCTGCCGCCCCTGCTTGGTGCGCCGGCGCAGCTCCAGCAGCGCCTCCCACCCATGCTCCTGCAGGATGGCCAGAGGCTCCTGCGCCAGTCCCACCATGTCCAGTACCACCGGTCCGCCTGCACTCGGCAGCGCAGAGCAGCGCCGTGCACGGACAGTGTGGGCACGCGACGGCTGATCACAGCTGCTACCAGCGTGTGGCAGCACAGCCGTGCAGCACTGGAGCCCGACCAGCATACTTCCAGCAGCGAGCTCCCACTCGGCTGTCTGCAGCAGATCAGCTGCGCTCACCCTTGCGCTGCGCCAGGCTCAGGACGCCCTCTCTCCCGGTGGCAAATCGTTTGGAGCTGAACTGCGCCCCCAGCACCGATGCCAGCGCCACCTGGTAGCTGGTCAGCAGGTGGTCCCGCACGGATGCGCCTGCAGCACAGGCATGCAGAGCTGGCGGGCTTGGGGAAGGGGCTTCTGAAGCAGGCCGGTGGCAAGCTTTCAGCTCACTGCCGCCTGCCTGATCGGGAACCGCTGGGGAGGGGTGCAGGCACCAGGACGCCAGGAACGGCCGCAGCAGCAGGGCAGCGCACCTCCCGGGACGCGGCGGATCACAGACTCCACATAGTTGGGCCGCACCACCATGTCGCCCAGCTGGTTGATCAGCACGCGCAGCCCCGGGCGCTTGTACAGAACAAGGAACTTGCCGGCGCGCGTCACTACGTCGTCGCTGTTGATCATCTGCCTGCAACCCAGGGCACCTTGCGAGGCGTGTGACCGCGCTCGGCGCTTGAGTTCCGTTGGCTGGGTTGGGATGGTGCAGGGGTGGGGCTGCCAGGGAGTGGTGTGTTTCTGTGCAGGGCAGAGGGGGGGAGGGCAGGCGGCCCCGGGCGGCGGCCCACCAGGTGTCGGGCACCGTCTTGTCGTACAGCTTGGCAAAGGCGTGGTTGCCGGTGCGCGGGGCGCCAAAGGTGTAGCACTTGACTGCCACAGCGGTATCTGGGTAGCGCGAGGCAATGTCGTATGCGCACAGCGTGGCCAGCGCGCCGCCCAGAGAGTGCCTGCAGGGCGGTGCCAGCGCCGGGGAGCCAGCTCAGCTGCTGCTGCCAGCAACAAGGGGAGTGGCGCGCAGGCGCAGGCCGCGCAGGCCACCAGCATTAGCGGTGTGTGCCCACTCACCCTGTGATCAGCACTCGGAGGGGCTTGCTGGGTGCTGCCTCGCCTGCGTCTCCGCTGGGGTGCAACCGCTGCTCCAGCCAGCCCAGGATGCGGTGGCAGAAGTCGTTGGCTGTCCAGGCCTTGTGGAACCCCCAGTGCACCATGGGGGTGCTGCGGGCAGGAAGGAGGGGACACGGCATGGCGCCCGCTAGGTACCTTGCTGATGCTGCACCCCCGTTGCACCATGGCTCATCCCAATGCGTGAAGGCAAGGCTGCGGAGGTTGAGCTTACGAGAAGACCCACTGGCTTCCTAGCCCAGGTGGCCAGGCCGTGCGCCACACCTGCACACGCGTGGGCATGCGGAGATGTACGGTTGGCAGGCCCTGGGAGGCAAGGAGGCACCCAGCCCGACAGCTCAGCAGCCGCCCACCTGTATATCGGCCTTGGCGTTTGCAAGGCTTGCGGTCCCTCTGAAAGCAATCACAGCCTGCAGCACAGCAATCATGTGACCTGAGCTGCCGAGCGCTGTGGGAAACAGCAGGCGGCGGCGTGTTTGAGGGGCAGCGGGCATCCCTGACGTGCACATGCCAACAGCCATCACTGGCTGGCAGCCCGCGCCTACCATGTCGTTGTTCCAGCCCACAATCGCCTTGGTGTCGACGCCCGTGGGGTCTTTGTCCCAGTGCATCTCAAAGTGCTGCAGGTCGTACAGGTTCAGGGCGGCTTCCACCGAGTAGGGGCTATCTGGCGCCTCGTCGTGATCATACACCTGCAGGCAGGGAGGCCACAGACGCCGGCCGGGTCCACGGCTGCCCTTCGGCGCTGCAGCGGCAAAGCACGATCTGCACAGGGCGCCACAACAGCTGTGCGAGCGTCCTCACCAGCATGCTCCAGTACATGGCTTTCAAGCCCGTCTGCGGTATGCACATTGAAGACACAAGCAAGGTCTTTGCGGCTGAGCATCAGGGCAGCAGTGATGAGGTGGGAGCCAAAGCCAGCTGCAGCTGACAGGGGCACCCTGCGCAGAGGCAGGTGCGGCAGCAGCGCACCTCAAAACAAAAAATGGGCTCCTTGTCGATGGCCACCGTGCTGAGGGAGTCGGGTGGTAGGCTAGACGCCCTCGCTGCTTTCTTCCTCTGCTCCTCCTCCCCTTCCGTCCATGCGAACTCCTGCGTGGCGCATGCATGCAGGTGCCTTCAGCCCACCCTCCAACAGCATGTGATCTAAACAGATGGAGCAGCTCGGGACAGTCGGGCAGCCACAAGCCAGGTCTGGGCATGGAACTGTGTGATTGAGGAGGTTGGGCCTCTGCACAAGAGCTGTGCAGCACACTGAGGCCACACCTGAAGCCAGACCTGCAGGCCACGCGCAGGAGGACATGCAAAGCGCTGTGAACGCGGGAGGTAGGCAGGTGCATGTGCCAGGAGAGCAGCAAAGCGGCTCCATCTAGCGGCTGCCAGGCAGCAGCAGGCAGGGCAGGCAGGCGGCGGGCGGGAAGGGTGTGCTGTGTGTTGCCGGGGCGCGCACCCGGAGGATGCCGTCGTCGTGAGGCCGCTTGGGGGTCATGGAATAGCCATTTGAAATGCCTGACCACACCATCACCTGCAGCATGCCCACGCATGCGGCGATCGGCAAGCACTTGGGTGCCAGGGAGCAGCCGTGCATTCACTGGGCGCGCCCAGCAGCGGGCAGCAGGGTGCGTACCAGCATGGAGGGCAGGTATCCCAGCCAGGTCAGCACATAGGACCGGCAGGTGCTGAAGCCGATGAAGGTGTAGCACACCATGCAGAGGAAGAAGAAGGCGATGGCCATCGTGCGCTGGCGTATCTGCACAGCGGCGGCACGCGAAGCGGTATCTCCCAACAGAGCACCCAAAGATTGGCACACAGCCCCACGCCTGGCAAGGGCGCCACCCAAGCTCGCCCCACCGCTACCGCCGCTGCAGCTGGAATGAGCCGCGGGGGCCTCACCTGGATGCGCAGCACAAAGTTGGCCATGCGGAAGGAGTTGTACGGCTGGCGCAGCAGGTGCTGGAAGGCGCGGGAGATGGAGTAAAAGTACAGCAGGCTGTAGGAAGCGATGCACAGGGTGAGCCCCACGATCAGCCCGGTGATTGTGCCTGCAAGGGTGGGGCGGCCGCGCAGGCGGCAGGCAGATCGCGCAATGCATTTGCGGTGCCGCTGGAGATGCGTGGGCAGGGCAGACGAGATCGGGGCCCTCACCAGAGACGTTGCAGGCGTAGGTTTGGTACCGGCACGACGGGCCCAGCGCCTCGACCTCCTCGTTGAACGCTCGCAGGTTGCGGGAGGTGATGATGGAGACTGACACGACCAGGCCCACCCACAGGCAGGCCTTGGGCCAGTGCCGCCAGAACGGGGCGTCCATGACCACCGGCGCGCCCCACTCCTCGCCGCGCTCCACGTCTGCACGGGCGGGGGCCACCACGCACAGCTGACCCTTGCTGCATGGTCTTGTAGCTCAAAGGGACGGGCCGCACCGGCCAGCGCCCAGCCTGCTGACAGGCGCTTGCATTGCATCGTGGCACAGGTGCGGCGCGGAGGGCATGCAGGGCACGCTGGCCATACTCACACCATCGGCTGTTGCGCGGTGCGGGCATCCACGAGTGCCCCTCGATCCAGTAGAGCAGGAAGGCGCTGTTCCACGTGGTCCACCTGTGAGACTGATGGCGACAGGGTGAGGGGGGAACAGGGCAAGGCAGCAGCTTTTCCAAGAGGGATTGCGGATGCTCGCACCTGACACCAGCTGTCCAGGTCACCGTGGAGGAAAACCAGGAGCACTGGCGCGCGAGCACGTAGCTGCACGGTCGGGGGAGCGCGTGGGGGGGGGGGGCGGTCGTGCGTTGAGAACACAGGGTGGCGGCACAAGGATGCGAGCGCAGCGACAGGAGCAGGCCAGAATGGGGCACGCCCTCTCGGGCGCTGCCTCACCTGTTGGGCACCAGGAACATGATGCTGTTGATGACCTGCAGGCCCAGCTCTGTGCCCGCCATTGCGGCCAGCCGCCGCCGCCTGTGCGTCCACCGCTTGCCGCACTGGTTCGACCTGCGGGCACCATGTGGCGGTAGCAGCCAGGGTCACCATGAGGGCATGCCAGTGGCCGGCGATGGACCGAGTTCAGTCATTTCTCGGCCCACCTACGGAGCCGCCTCAGAAACTGCCACAGGGTGGCCAAGGTGACCATGGTAAGAAGGCTGGCGAAGACCGTGTTTGCCACAATCATGCCTTCGTTCTCGAGGAAGTAGGTGGGAGGCTGCAGCAGGAGGACATTGCAGCTTAAAAAAACAATGGCACAGGGAAGGCTGGCGGCAAGAAGCTGCACTTACATATGTGAGCTGAAGCACGATAACAAGGATGAACAAAGCGAGGCTGCAGGTTACCACAAAGTACACCACCAGGATGACAGACTTGACCGATCTCTCCCCCACACACTCGTAGCGAAGCACAATGTCTCGGCTTGGGTCGTAGTGCAGGGTGACAGAAGGCTTGCTGGCCACAGGGGGCAGCCGGTGCTCTGCGGCGCCTGCCGCTGCATGGCTGTCTTGCACTGGGCGATCCTCTTGGTCTGCTGCCTGCACGCCATCAGCAGCTACGCTGCGTCCCGTGCCGCCCATGTCGGTGCGCCGCCAAGGCGGGGGCGGCCGGCGTGGGAGCAGAGGGCGGCCGGCGTGTTTCGTCGCTGTCGTCTTCTACTGCACTCTACGTCGGATGCATGGCTGCTCCCTGGCACCGCGCGCCTTGCACAGCCTCACGGCAACACCGTCCAGGCTGACACCCAAGGCTGACACCCAAGGTGCAACTGCGGCTGCTGCACTGTCTGGAACGTCACAAACGTGCAAGGTACACCCAATGCGGCGGGATGCTGCTGATGTGTCGGGAAACCTGCACCTGGGCGGGCAGCATGCGAGCCATGGCGGCTTCATCTGAACAATCTGCGCCCTCAGGCCGGCGATGGGCCAACGCAAGGAAGCCCAGTTCCTGTGCTGCGTCATTTGAGTCTTTGCCAGCCCCTGCCGCTCTCTGCAGCCCCTTTTTGTGCAGCTGCAGTCGGGCACAAGCTAGGAGGCGCCCTTTCACTGGTCTACAGCGGCTATGGTGCTTATGTTGAGCGCGCCGGCTGCAGCGGGGGCTAGGGCCAGCTTGCGGCGTTGCTGCAGAACAGCGGCGAGTTGGGTGCCCGACTACGGCCTCCCTAGTGTCCCCGGCCGCACGAAGAAAAGGGTCGGACATTCCAGCGCGGGCAGCGTCGTGCCTACTCGCAAGTGGTGAGGGTCCAAGGAGCGGCGGCAGCGGCGGCAGCAGCGGCTAGCCTGCACAAGCCCCCTGGCCCCCTGGCTTGATCGCAGCTACTCACGGCTGGCCCTGCACCTGGCACAGGTGGGACTATGCCTCGCCCAGCGCCTCGATTGGGCGGCCACGCCTTGGCCTCAAGCTGGTGTCCATCCCCCAAGTTTCACCAGGTGTGGCGGGCCCTTGGCTGCTGCCGCTTTTGCTGCTGCCGTGTTTTCCCTATGCTGCCACGCATCGGTTCCTCCCCATCAACAGTCATGCTCGGCGGCCGCGGGGTGCAGGCGGCGGCAGCGGCGGCGGCGGCGGCGGCAGGCGCGGCGGGGGTGGCGGCGGCAACGGCGGCGGCGACGACCCCATGAAGGGCTTCACCTACCTCTTTTCCTCCCTCATCTTTGCCGGCGGCCTGATGGCCTACATCCGCAAGGGCTCCTCCAACAGCCTGCTGGTGTCCGCCGCCGTGGCCACGCTGCTGCTCATCAGCACCTCGCTCATGCACCACCGCAGCGGCAAACTCCTGGCACTGGGTGAGCCGCGCTTATCATGCTGGTGGCGGTCTGCCCTGTTGGCACTGCTGTGGCCTGCTGGCGCCTGCGACTCTTGCTGCTGACGCGCGCCCCCAATTCCCCTCCCTGCCGCAGGCACCTGCCTTGTGCTGGCCGCAATGATGGGCCATCGTGCCAACACCAGCCGCAAGGTCTTCCCTGCTGGCATCGTGGCCATCCTCAGCGCACTCATGACCGCTGGCTACGCTCGCTCCCTGGCCTGAGCAGCAGCCGGAATGCAGATGGGCATTCTAGTACCACCAGCCAGCAGCAGTAGTGACGCCCAACCAGCCAGAGTCAACACAGCTGCTGGCCCCTTGGATGGCAATGCCTTCCGCTTGAAATGAACCGTTAGCATGCTCTGCGCAACGGCACGGCTCCCTGACAACAGGCCCCCTTTCTGAATCCTGCCTGCCTGCGACACGCTGCAACCATTTGCAGCGCCCTCCCTGCTGACTAGATGTTAGACTGACTACAACAGGACACCACACCTGGCCTTGGCAGTTGTGTGCCAGCCTCAGAAGACCCCACCCAGCCTGCTCTCTTGCCTTTCAAACAAGGCTCCCATCACTTCTCCACCCATTCTTTGACACCCTGCCATCTCGATTTTTGATCCTCTCTGCTCCTGTCCCTTCAGCATTAATCAGTTGATTGGATGCCTGTAAGAACGCCGCATCCGCAGCGGGCCGCCTTGACCATCGCCGCCGCTTCCACAGCTGCTCCTGCTGGGTACGCAGCTTGCGGCCATGTAAAGACATGGTCCTCATAGCAGGGTTGCCATTGACCCGGGCCTCTCTTACCAAAAAGGGGTGAGCCCGGCAGACTCCTGCGGTACGTCGACCGACCACCCGGCACTACAGTGGGGCTCTTGGGCCTCCAGGGCACTGATCGGGCAGTCCCTCCCACTCTGCCCACCCTCCCTTGCTGCTGGGAACTCAGCAGGCAGCCCCGCGTCTCCCACTGTCTGCCCCTCTGAACAGCGGCGATCGGCAGCCACAAACCAACTATAGAACTAACGAGCATTAGGCCTCCATAGCTCAGCATGGATCCAGCAGAAATTTGGCGCAGTCTGCCGGTTATCACGCGCGGCTATGTCTCCCTGTGCGTGGTGACCACGGCAGCGTGCGCTCTGGAGGTGAGCGGAGGGAGCGGAGTTGTGCGGGCCCGCACGCTGGGGGAGGCAGTAAGTGTCACTGAGCCGCTGGCAGCCCGCACCGCCCAGCCGCTCGTGCCGCCCAAGCCGCCGCGAGCCGCACCTGCCTGCAGATCATCACCCCCTTCAACATCTACTTCAATGCCAAGCTCATCTGGCAGAAGCATGAGTTCTGGCGCCTGTTCACAAACTTCTTCTACTTTGGCACGCTAGGCGAGTGGCGCCGCCGCCTCTGGCATGTATTGCTTGCTTGCTTGCTTGCTGCTTGCTTGCTTGCTTGCTTGCTTTGGTTTGCAGTGCACGCCAGACGTTGAGCCCCTAACTTACCATACCTGATCCCATACCTGCTCCCATCGCCCCCTCGTCGCAGGCCTGGACTTCTTCTTCCACATGTTCTTCCTCGTGAAGTACAGCAAGTCGCTGGAGGAGGGGTCGTTCCGCAACCGCTCCGCCGACTTCCTGTGGATGCTGCTGTTTGGCTCCGCCATCCTGGTGGCCGCCGCGCCCTGGGTCAACATCCAGTTCCTGGGCTCTTCCCTGACCTTCATGATGGTGAGGCGGGTGGTTCGCTGCTGGCGGCTGCAGGGGGAGCTGAAAGCGGGCTTGGTGACAGCATCAGCCAGTACCGCGAAGCTGACCCTCGTCTGGCCACCACCCGCGCGCCCTGCAGGTGTATGTGTGGGGTCGGCGGCACCAGTACGTCAACCTCAGCTTCCTGGGCATCTTCACGTTCACCGCCCCCTACCTGCCCTGGGTGCTGCTGGCCTTCTCGGGTGCGCCGCCGGCCCCTTGCCTCGCGTCGCCTTCCCGCCCTACTCGCCAACCTCCCGTGCGTCATGCAGAGGTGGCAGCCTACCCCTGCCTTGTGCTCCCTCATTTGCTCGCCGCGCTCCCCCTGTGGCCCTGCCGCAGTCATGCTGGGCAGCAGCCCTGTGGTGGATCTGCTGGGCATGGTGGCGGGGCATGCCTACTACTTCCTTGAAGACGTCTACCCTCGCATGACCGGCCGCCGCCTGCTCAAGACGCCCGCCGTGGTGCGCGCTCTGTTCCCGGCGGAGGGCATCCAGGCGCCCCGCATGGCAGCCATGCCCGCAGCAGCAGCAGGAGGCGGCGGCTTCGCGGCAGGCGCAGCGGCGGCGGCGGGTGGCGAAGGCGATGGCAGGCCACACGCGGACTGAGCAGCGTGTAGGCCTGCATGTGCAACGCTGCTGTCATGGCTGCCTCAATTGTCTTGCATCATCACTGTAGTAACAATGAGACAGAACGAGGTGGCGACCCGGTGACCCGGTGACGTGGCGGCGGCTGGCCGTCGAATGCGGCAGATGGGGTGCTGCTCTTCCCCGATCATCTTAGGCACCTTCTGGGTCCTCGAAGAGCTCGCTCAAAATTGCTTGGCCGCAATGCTGCAATCGGCCGCCCGTCTGCCTGCCTTTGGAGCCTCTCTGCTGCTAAATGGGCTACGATGCATGTCCACGGCTGGAGTTGTGAGTCGGGACGTGTGCGACACAGAGCTGCGTGCCGTCCGCCACTGAGTCGGGTGGTCGGCGAGACCCGCTGCGCCGACACCCCGCTGCCCGAACTGGTGCAGGAGTTTCTTGGGCGCTCGCTGCCGTCCAGTGTGACCATAGTGGAAGTGGGGCCGCGAGACGGGCTGCAGAACGAGCCAGAAAAGGTGCATTGCTGCGAGGTTTGGCCGCTGGCGCCGCCTGCCGGGTGTGCTGCCGTGCCTTCTGCTAAGCAGACGCGCCCTGCGGCTTCCCTGCCAGGTTTCCACGGACGTCAAGGTGCAGCTGATTGACCAGCTGACGGCCGCCGGGCTGCCGGTGATAGAGAGCACCAGCTTTGTGTCTCCCAAGTGGGTGCCGCAGCTGGCGGATGCAGCTGACGTGCTGGCACGCATCGCACAGCGCCCCGGCGTGCGATACCCGGTGCTAGCACCCAACATGAAGGTGGGATGGGTGTCTGGGGGAAGCGGGAGGGGCACAGACAGCCTGCTTGTGCTGCTGCTTGCCGAGTATTGGGGTGGCCACCCAGGCCGATCCTCGCAGCCACACGCCTGCATCAAGTGCCGCAGGGGTTTGAGAATGCGCTCAAGGCAGGGGCGCGAGAGGTGGCCATCTTCACCGCCGCCTCCGAGGCCTTCAACCGCAAGAACCTCAACTGCTCCGTGGACGAGAGCCTGCGCAAGTTTGATGACGTCATGGCGGCGGCCAAGCGGGAGGGCGTGGCGGTGCGCGGCTACGTGTCATGCGTGGTGGGATGCCCCTACCAGGTGCGCCGGCAGGCAGGCAGGAGGATGATTGGGCAGTTGGATCGGCGCCAGGGGCGCATTCACCTGCAGCAAGGGCATGCCGAGAGGAAGGCCCCCGGACCTGCATTGATTGGGCGGCATGCGGCAGTGCACAAGCCTGCCTGCCTGCCTCCCTCCCTGTCTGCCTGGTGCAGGGCGAGGTGCTCCCGGAGGATGCTGCCCGTGTGGCTGGGGCGCTGCATGAGATGGGGTGCTACGAGGTCAGCATGGGAGACACCATCGGCACAGGCACACCCGCCTCAGGTGCGCCAGGCTGGCCTGGCAGGGAGCAGTCAGTGGTGGGGCTGGTCTTGAGTGCACTGGTTGCCCCCATGCGTTCAGTGTCTCCATGTTAATGGTTTGGGGTGTACAAACATCTTGATTGATCTTACCCACAGTCACCCACATGCGCCTGCCTGCCTGCCCCGCAGTGGCGGCCATGTTTGAGGCGTGCAAGCAGCGGGTGCCGGTGGAGCGGCTGGCGGCGCACATGCACGACACCTACGGCCAGGGCGTGGCCAACACGCTGGCAGCCCTGCAGATGGGCGTCGCGGTGGTGGACTCGTCAGGTGGGCGGGGCGGGGCGCTGCTGTCCCAGGGGCTCGGCGTGCTCGGCTGGTAGGGAGGCTACCAGCTGGAAGCAGCCGGAAGCAGCCGCCGCCGCCCTGGCAGCTCCTGTGCCCCTCTATCAGAGAAAGAGAGAGAGAGAGAGCGCTTGGGCCCCAGGCCCCAGCCTGCCCAGCCGCTCCAAACCTGTTTGCTGTGAGTCTGCTGTGTCGGTGTCCGCTGTACGCCCCCGCAGTTGCCGGGCTGGGCGGCTGCCCGTACGCCAAGGGCGCCACAGGCAACGTGTCGACAGGTGGGGCGGGCAATTCCTGCTGTCGGCGGCCTGCTGTGCTGCCTCCTCGATGCATGCTGCTAGGTCATGGCCAACTAGTGCTCAACCGCAATTAGATCGGCCATTTCTACGACAGCCCTTGGGGCCAACAGGCCTTTCACCTGTGCCTCCCCACGCCTGCAACTCTCCTGCAGAGGATGTGGTGTACATGCTGGATGGCTTGTGAGCTGCTGCTGCGATTCGTGCAGCTGGGAGGCTGGCTGTAGTCGGAGCTGCCGCCCTAACAGCGCAGGGCCACTTCTTCCTGTGCATGCGTGGGCAGGCCCTCCCATTGCGTGAAACCGCACATGTGCAGTGGATGCGTTGCAGCCCCGCCCACACCCCTCCTCGCCACCCTTGCCCTCCATCCTTTGCCCGCAGCGGCATCCGCCACGGCGTGGACATGGAGCGCCTGCTGGATGCCAGTGAATTCATCTGCAGGGCCCTGGGCAGGAGGAACAACAGCCGGGCTGCAGAGGCGCTGCTGAAGAAGCGGCAGGCCAGGCGGGAGGCGGCGCCAGCGGCAGCGTGAGGGCAGTGCGCTGCTTCGGTACCCGCTCCCTTTGCACTGGCCCCTCCATTCGCTGTAAATCTGGCAGGTGTCTGTTGCTTACGGTGCCAGTATGGCAGAGGCGGTCCAAGAGGAGCAGCACCCTGGGAAGCTGCCCGAGGTGCCTGAGGGCTCTCAGGAGGGGGACAGCCTCGAGGTCAGCAGCTTTGGCAGCAGCCCCGGGAGCCCACTTGCCGTGGGGCGACCCAGCCCCTTCGATCAGACCACCGCTGAGCCACCGCCTCCCAAGCCAGAAACCCCCGCCCTGCACCTCGACCTACGCCACCTCAGGATCAGGAAGCCAGCGGCAGGGCTGCCAGACGGTGCGCGCAGCGAGAGGGGCAGCCGTCCAAGGATGGTGGCACCCGCTGGCCGCCGGCAGCGCGTCTGCTTGCCTCGCGTCTCTTCTCCAACCCCAGGAGTTTGGCGCATCAAGCTTCAGCACCCTGCTGCAGGCGATGGGCCGACTGGCGGGGTGCTGGAGTGCGAGACCATGCGGCACCTGCTGCGGCCCATGTATGACACAGCTGCACAGGCGTGGCCTGCGCCCCAGCATCGCCTCGTGCCTCTTGACGGCAGCGATGCCTGCATTGCCCAGGTCCCAGCCCTCCTGATTCCTCCCTGCTGGCTGGCAGCAGGTGACAGCTCCCCCGTCCACGCCTGGGTCCCTTGCCCTGGCCCCGCGGTGCCGTGCAGACCCTCCCCCTTTGTCAAGGACTGCTACTTTGGCGGCGGCTTTGTGTCGGACGACGACCGCGTCTCGCTGCAGTCCCTGCTCTTCGCCTGCCCCGCCTCGCGCGGCGCGCAGGTGCACGGCCTGGGCGGCAGCGGCGGCGGCATGCCCCACCCGCTGTCCCGCACGCTGTCCACGCCGCGCTCCTCGGTGGACACCAACCAGGATGCTTACCTGGACATGGAGGTGCCTCGTTTTGCGCTGAGGGCGGGGCCGCGCCGCACCATCTACTACCAGCCCGCCTCCACACGTATGGCCATCGTGTGCAGCGGCGGCATCTGCCCGGGGGAGAACGATGTGGTCAGGGCGCTGGTGCTCAAGGCGAGCGGGTGCTGGCCGAGGGTGGGGGAGCAGCCCAGGGGCAGCGCGAGCTGGCTGGCGGGCTGTGGGCTGCGGGGCTGATACCGACGGCGGCCAGCCACACTGCCCGCCTGCCTGCCTGCCCCTCAAGCAGCCCTGCACTCGCGCCCCCCACCAACCAGCCAGCCAACACACACACACACACACACATGCCTGACACGCCAGGCGCTTGACTATGGCGTGCGCGAGGGAAACATCCTGGGCATCCGCCTCGGCTGGCGCGGCTTCTACTCCAAGACGCACAAGCCCATTATGCTGACCCGCCAGGTGGTGTGATGGGCAGGGCGGGGCAGGGGCGGCTGCCTGCAATGTGCGCTGTGCCAGCCGCCGTGGCTGCTGCTGGATCTGCTGCCCGCGCTGGGGCTCCCAGGCGGTCGGAGGCAGGCGCCGGCGCGCCTGGCCTGGCACCCCAGCTGGGCTGGCCACTGCCTGCCGCAGGGAGCCTCCCCAAACAGGGCCAAGCCCTTCACGAGCTGGCCCGCATCGCTCCCTGGCCCGACACCCTGAGCCTGCCCTCCCTCCCTGCAGGCTGTGGAGGACATCCACCTGGAGGGCGGCACGGTGCTGGGCACGTGCGAGGCGGGGGAGTGCAATGTGATGGAGGTGGTGAAGCGGCTGGGTGAGCGCGGGGCGGCGGCTGGCTGGCGCGAGCATGCCCGCGCAGAGCTGCTGCTGGCTGTCGACGCCTGCCTGCTGCCGGTGCCTGCCTGCTGTTCATGCCTGCCTGCTGTCCATGCCTGCCTGCTGTCGGTGCCTGCCTGCCTGCAGACCTGTGGGCCATCGACATGCTGTTCGTGATCGGCAACCGCCACGACATCGACTCCGCCGGCGTCGTGCAGGCAAGCGACGTCACTGGGCAGCCGTGGCACGGGGCAGCACCGGCACGCATGCTGCGCTCGTGGGCTGGGCCCGCGACAGGCCCAGCAGGTGCAGCAGGCTTAGCACCTGCCCCGCCCCTGCCGCAGAGGATGTGCGACCAGTGCAGCGTGCAGTGCGCCGTCATCGCCCTGCCCAAAAGCATCGACAACGACGTCCTCATGGTGGGCAGCGCATCTCGGGAACCAGGCTGCCGAACCTCGCCCTGCCTGCCTTGCGCCGCGCCTGTTGCGCTGAGGCCAGGCTGCCCACTCAGCATGACTGCCCCTTCCCGCCCTCCAACCCTGCACAGCTGGACAAGTGCTTTGGGTACGAGACGTGCGTGGAGGAGGCGCAGAAGGCGCTGCTGGCGGCCAAGGTGGAGGCCTCCTCCGCCTACCGCGGCATAGGGCTGGTCAAGCTCATGGGGCGACACTCGGGCTTCATCGCCGTCAAGGTCAGGGGCAGGCAAGGGAGCGGGGCCAGGGGAAAAGCACAGCTGAGCCTGCTGGCCGCACGCCTGCTCAGCAGACGGTCGCCACAGCGCCGCAGGAGCTCAGATGTCTCCCGCCTGCTGCCTGCGTTGCCGCTCTGGGAGCAGGCCGCGCTGGCGTCCGGGCTGGTGGATGTGGTGCTCATCCCCGAGGCAGGCTACTGCCGCATGACAGCGCCCTGCCTGTATAGCTGGTGGCCTGGAGCCCGGCTGCCTACCAGAAATATCATGGATCTCCACAGCCGATGGGTTGGGGAGGCTGGGCCCTGCCCATCGAGCTGCTGCGCCGCACTCTGCTGCGCCCTGCAGGTGCCCTTCAACATGGACAAGGTGCTGAACTACATGGGGCGCATCCTGGACACGCGGGGCCATGTGGTGGTGTGCCTGGCAGAGGGAGCGGGCCAGGTGGGCACGCGCGGGCGAGCGGCAGGGTGCCGGGGCGGCGGGCAGGGCAAAGCAGGGCAAAGCAAGGCAATGGGGCCGCATGTGGCGCTGTTTGTTTTGAGATGCGGAGCAGCTCGAGTGGGCTGACCGGTTGGCGGCGCCGCGGCTGCTGCGCCTGCAGGAGCGCCTCCCGCAGTGCGCCTTCAAGCCAGGCCAGGTAGTTAAGCAGCAGCTGTGCCCCGCCTGCCTGCCTCCCCCTGCATGCAATATGCACCTGATGTATCCCCCACCACCGCCCCAGCCCTCGCCCGCAGGACCCCGCCACCTGCCACGAGACCGACTCTGGCAGCTGGATGAAGGGGGAGATCAAGAAGGCGCTCAAGGACGTCGACGCCAAGTACATCGATCCGTCATGTGAGCTGGGGGTTCAGGCCAGGCCAGGAAGGCAGCAACCTGCCCACCCAGGTCCCACGGAGGCCTGCCAGGGGATACAGCCCGTGGCGACCCAGCCCTGCACCTGCACCCCCACCCCACCCCCCGCAGACCTCATCCGCTCCATCCCCGCCACCTCCGACGACCGCGTGTACTGCAAGATGCTGGCCCACGGCGCGGTACACGCCGCCTTTGCCGGCTACACCAACGTGGCGGTGGGGCAGGTCAACACGCATGTGGTGTACCTGCCCCTCCATCTCCTGGTGCAGGCCCCTCGACAGGTGGGGCTGGGCCTCCTGCGCGGGCCCCAGGCCCGCGCTGCTGGCGCGTTGGTGCTGGCATCATGATTTTGCGGCTGGCTTGGCTGGCCACGATGTTTTTTTGCCTGCCTACCTGCGCCGCAGATGGACCCACAGGGCGAGCTGTGGAACAGGATGTGCGCAGCCAACGGCCAGCCGCCGTTTGAGGGGGTGGCGGACGGCCCGCCACGGCGAGCTCTGGAATAGGATGGCCGCAGCGCATGGGGGCTCCCCGCCAGCGGCTGAGCTAGCAGGGCAGCCCGCTCCTTTTCCGCCACTCTTGTTGACTGATGCATTGGAGCCCTGTACCCCCTGTGCGAGTTGTGTAAAACCCTGCCTGCAGATCCCATGCATATTTACATACTTGCTTTAGCTGGCTCTTGGTCAGCTGGCGATAAGGGGGAACTGTGCCGCAGCCATCATCGAGCCGTTGGGATTGGGTTCGATAAGGGTGAAGGCTTGTCAGGCATGTGCAGGCAACGTGGGGTCAACTGTGTGTTTATCATTTGGCGTATTGCGCCGCTTGGGGCCAGCCATACTGCACACTGGCAGCTCGGGCAACGCGCACTGAGCTCGCCGCGCCCCCCGCCGGGCGGGCCCAGGCTCAGTTGAGGTGCCGGTCATCAATCACTCCTGCCCCTCCTTCCCCCTGACCTGCACGGGCCGCAGGCGGCAGGCAGTGGAGGGGCTGGGTGGGTGCAAGGCGCAGAACCCAGGCCGGCCCGGGCAGCAGCAAGTAGAAGCGCGCCCCAGCCAAAGGCCCAGGACTGGCTCTCTTCCTAGCCGCCCTCCCGCCTCCAGCCCCGCCCACCTCCTCGGCATACTCCTGGGCCTGCTGAAGCTTCCTGGGGTGGCCCTGCAGCCGGGCAGGAGCAGCAGCAGCCGTTAGAGGCAGGCGTTAAGGTGCAGGCAGGCTGGGTGTGGCAGCATAAGTGGGCAGAGGCTGAGCGGGCCCAGGAGCATCGCGGTGAAGACCCCAGGGAGGGAGGGGTCCTGCCTGCACAAACGGGATGTCCTCAATTTTGCCGCCGGCATGCACAGTGCGGGTCACGACAGCCTTCTCGCCGCCGCTGCATGGAGGGGGGCCAGTGGGGCAGGGTGCGCAGATCGTTGGCAGTGGAAGGGAAGGGCAGAGCCGCCGCCTGTGGTGTGCTGCATCACCCACCTCAGGTGGTGGCCGCCGTGTCCGGCGCCGGCCTGGGCGTGGCCCTGCTCAATCCCCTCCCGGCTCGCCACCTGGGGCGCGTGGGGCAGGCAGAGGCCGCGTGAGAGGCTGGGGGGAGGCTGAGGGTTGCCCAGTGGGACATGCGGCCTGGCTCCTCCATGCTTCCCCGCCTTCTGCCCGCACCTCCTTGGCGTACTGCTTGGCGGCCGCCTGGTGCTCGGGGTGGCTCTTCAGGTGCACCTCCTCGCCAGCCTTCACCTGTCGGGTGATGGCGGCCTTCTCGCCGGAGCTGCAGGGGAGGCAGGCAGATGGCGCCACCGGCTGAGCGGTGTCCTGTCGACGGTGGCGGCCAGCGCGCCGCTGCGGCGAGACGAGTGGCGCCCTGGACCTCACGCCTGCGCACAGCTCTGGGTGTCCCAGGCCCACGCACCTCAGGCCCCCGTGCTCGGGGTCCCCGTGCCTCTTGTCCGTCATCGTGCAGGTGTTTGTGTGTGCAAGCGGGAGGGTGTCGAGACGTGTGAGAGAGGAAATCGAACACCACTGGAGTAGAAACGGAACGGTTTTGGGCTTCCGAGGCCGCCCAGGGCAAGTTTAAGGCAGGACAAGGTCATGCTGTGCACGCTGATGTGGCACTCCACTTTCTGCAGAACTCCAGGACGCCCGGGCCCTAACACTGCAACATCCATATTTCACTTCAGCTCCTGAAGCACATGCTTGCCGCCGAGCATCGCCAAGTTGCTTCCTGCTTCACCACAGTTCAGACATAACACAAACACGGGCGATAAGCATCTCACGTAGCGGACTGGGCTGGGGAATCAACCAGCAAAACATGCAGAAGCAATCATGCAGAGATGAGCAAAAGGTGGGGTCGGTTGGGCCGTAAGAGGTCGGCAGCGTTTGCCGAGCACCGGCGCAGGCACGGCCAGCCGGCGAGCTCCAAGACAGCCGCGGCTGATGCTGCGCCGGCTGCCATGCACAAATGCATCCACGTGCCGTGGAAAGCCCTCAGCCGGGGAAGAGGCTTGGCTAGACCAGGGCACGCCCCATGCTCTGCGAGGCCTGCTGCGCCGCCAGCAGCTGCGCCGCAGCGGCTGCCAGGCCCACGCCCGCACTGATCTGCAGCTCATCCATGTCTGCCAGCCACAGCGCCAGCAGGTTGAGCGGCGCCGCCGCCAGCAGCAGGGCCACCGGCGGCTGCACCAAGCAAAGGGGAGGGCGACAGGCAAGGGGAGAGGGGCGGGGAGGTCAGCGGGTCGAGCGGAGCGCAGTGGCGAGGGGTGGTGCGGGAGGAGAATGCAGCTGGCCAGGACCCCAAGCAGCTGAAGAGGCAGGGCTGGGATACCAGGGCGGCATGAAAGCGACCCGTGCCGCGTGCTTGCCTGGTGGCTGGTGCGCCAGAGCCAGACCAGCAGGAGCAGCTGGCAGGGCAGGGTGGCCACCAGGAGCGCGGCGTGGCGGGCCAGGTACCAGGCAGCCCAGGCGTTCATGGAGCCCAGGTGCATGCCCAGGTCGTGGGCCAGCTGCCAGGCAGCTGCCGCCGCCAGGTAGGCGGTGACGGCGGCGCAGGGCGGCACGTACCGCCGCCGGTCCTCCAGCCAGCGCAGCAGCAGCGGGTCCTGGGCCAGCAGCAGCAGGATGGGCGCCAGCAGCAGGATGGCGACGGGCACGCCGTCGGTGACCTGCGGGGGTGAGCAGACGGCGACGTGGAGGCGGGGGAGGCAGAGGTAAAAGTGAGGTGAGGTGAGGCAGGGTGCGCAGGAGTGGCCGACACACGCAGGGGAGTGGCATGCACTGGCGGAGATGAGGAGGGGTGCGCCCATGCACATCGCACCCCACCCTGCCCCATGCCTGCCGCCCACCCCTGCCGCTCCCCCCACCTGTATGTTGAGCGCCAGGCACAGCCCGAAGCAGAGCAGCGCCACCATGTTGCAGCAGGTGGGCACCCAGCTGAGCCCGTCCTGGGACAGCCGCTGCAGCGCCATGCCGCCCGCGCCCTGCAGGCGGGTGGGCGCAGGGCGGCGCACGGCGGTCGCCGACGCTGCGGCGCAGCCAGCCCGCATGCAGCGCCCGACGCGGCAGCCGAGAGCCCACACACGGCACCATCATCCCAGCACACACCCCACCCCACCCCACCCCACCCCCCCACACCTTGAGGCCGGGCCGCCCCGACCCCGGCGACTGCACAAAGGCGGGCATGCACTGGCCCAGGAAGGACGCGGCTTTGTGGAAGGAGGCGTCGTCCAAGCCCAGCGCGGCGGCGGCGGCGGGGGCAGAGGGGCGCGGCCCGCGCTGCCCCGCCAGCGCCGCCGCCACGCGCAGCTTCAGCGCAAACGCCAGCAGCAGCGACTCGGCGGCGTACACAGCCATCACGGCGGCCCTGCGGGCAGGGCAGGGCGGGGGGGGGGGGGGGGGGGGGGGGGGGGGGGTGGGGGGGTGGGGGGGGGGTGTGGGTGGGGGGGGGGGGGGGGGGGGGGGGGGTGGGGGGGGGGGGGGGGGGGGGGGGGGGAGGGAGGGGGTGCGCCCCC